TGGGGAAAAAGTAAGAAGAAAAGTATGTGAGTGGCACTCTTGCCGCTGGACATGGGGCCCAGGGGAAGCAGGACTGCTATGAGCACAAACATGTGTGGAAGCTGTGGTTCGGACCAGCTCTGCGGGTTGCAGGCGGGGTCTCAGGGGACAGAGGGAGCTCACAGCTGCCCTGAAACCTGAAGGTGTGTGAGGGAGATGAAACTGAACTCTGTCTGGGCAAGAGATGTGCTCTGTGTACAAAGCAAAGAGCAACACAGTGACTCCTGGTGGCAAAGCGCACAAACCCACAGTCACCTGGGGAGGGGGAACCCATGCTCATGGGACAGAGGATGATTCGTGCTAAATTCCAGAGCAACCGTCCTGCTAAGACCATTGGGCACAGAATCCATGTATTGTTGTAACCCTCCAGGATTTAAACACATTGGAGAGTAAGTAAATTACAGTGGATGCTGTCTTGTAAAAAAGAAAAAAATGGCCCTATGGTTTGGCTCATTGGATAGAGTGTCGGCCTGCGGATTGAAGGGTCCTGGGTTCGGTTCCAGTCACAGGCATGTACCTTGGTTGTGGGCACATCCCCAGTAGGGAGTGTGCAGGAGGCAGCCAATCGATGTTTCTCTCTCATCGATGTTTCTAACTATCCCTCTCCCTTGCTCTCTGTAAAATCAATGAAATATATTTTTTTTAAAATGGAAGAAAACACTTGATTAAGACATTACTGCTCAGTTCACACAGGAAGCAGGTGGGATACAAATATTTAAATAAAGGGGGTTTTCTCAACAAATCAAAGCTCTACACCAAATCATGGCTTCTTACTGTCTAGGAGAAGCCATGGTCCCCGGGGGACAGCTCTGCTCCAGGAACGAGGGGCCCTGAGGGGCAAAGTGACCCTGAGGCTGTTCCCAGGATGGAGGGGCTGGAGTCTGTGGCTGAGAAAAAGGGAAGTTCATGAACAAACATGTGATAGAAAGATAACCCAGATTCTGGGGCCACAGAAGGGACCTGTTTACTTCCCTTATTTCCCTGCATTTCCCCTCTGTGCTCACTGTCACAGGGACATCGCCCTGAGCTGCACAGTTGGAGGGTGAGTGTGTCCCTGCTGATCTGAGCTCTGCAGGCCACAGGGACCCATGTCTTCCTGAGGCGTCTCCAGGCCTGGGTGGCACTGTCCATGGTGAGGACCACAGGGAGGTGGTGATGGACGGGCTGAGGAGGAAAGAGACCCCGTGGGGGAGGCTCTGACAGGGAAGGACGTGCCCTGGGTCACCTCACCTGCAAGGGGCGTCTCAGGAGGCTGTGAGTTTATTTCCTGCTTCACCATGGAAATGAGAGCCAGGCTGCTAGAGAGGGTGTGCCCTCGCCTGCAGGCTGCTAACGTCAGAGCCCCATGACAGGGAGGATCAGCCTCCAAGTGACCACCACCCTTGCATCTGTCCCTCTATCCTTCTAGAACCTTGGCCTCCTCCATCTGCTCAGCTGAGGCCACAGAAAGAAGACGCCATGACCGCCACCCTCAGGGCCCTGCTCTGCCTCGGTGAGGTGGGAGGGGGGAGGGGAGCCCTGGTCATGCAGGACCCAGGACTCAGGAGGCTCATGGGGAGGAGGGTGCTGCTCAGGGTTCAGGGCAAATCTCTCACAGGGACTCTCTTCCAGGGCTGAGTGTGGGCCTCAGGACCCCAGTGCAGGCAGGTGAGTCACCCAGGTGTCCCAGGATCCACTCCTCCCTGGGGAAAAGGGCCACCCTCCAGGCAGCAGGGGGAGGAGTACAGATCTGTCTGAGAGACGGGAGGGGCAACTGGGACTGAGAGCTGGGACCAGGGGTGGGAATGTCCTGTGACCCAGCCTCTGATTCCTTCCAGGGCCCCTCCACAAGCCCACCCTCTGGGCTGAGCCAGGCCCTGTGATCTCCCGGGGGAGCTCCGTGACCATCTGGTGTCAGGGGACCCCAGGGGCTAAGGAGTACCGTCTGGAGAAAGACGGAAGCCCACCATCATACAAAAGACAGGAGCCACAGGACCCCAGGGATAAGGCCAACTTCTCCATCACACACATGGCAGAGCGTGATGCTGGGATATATCGCTGTTTATATATCAGCCCCACTGGCTGGTCAGGGCGCAGTGACCCCCTGGAGCTGGTGTTGACCGGTGAGAGGAAACTCAGGGGTCCCAGGCTCAGGCTCTCCCCTCAGGAAGGGGGTCTGCTCTCAGGATGTCTCCCTCTCACAGCCCAGCCCTGGGGGTCATGAGGGAGGTGTGAGCCCCATTTAACACGCTGCTTGCCTCCTCTCCTAGGATCCTACAGCAAACCCAGCCTCTCAGCCCTTCCCGGCCCTGTCGTGACCTCAGGACAGAACGTGACCCTCCAGTGTGGCTCAGGGCAGGGATTTGACAGGTTCATTCTGACTAAGGAAGGAGATCACAGGCTCTCCTGGGCCCTGGACTCACAGCCACATT